TTTCTTGCATTTGGGCAACATTACTAGACTCGCCTGACCAGATAGATATGTATTATAAGCTACAAGATATTAAAAGCTACAAGGAGTTACGATTAGATTTCTTGAACGGAGTCCTACCTCTTCCGCTCTGAATTCCGTTTGAATCAAATCGAATTATGTAGATTGTAGAAATACAGAGGGGAAATCTCCGTCTTTAGTACATTTATAATCGCTTGATTTGACAATATTAAGTTTCTACAATTCGAGTGATAAAACATGCTTAAAAAAATTGATAAGTGGAACATAATATTTAGTAGTTGGTTCGACTCCTGTTCGAATGGGCGAATTTTTCATTGTATTATTAATAAAATGCTCATTTACGTGTTTTTTAGTTAGGTAGATAAAAACATAGAAAATATTTTAACCTTTCACTAAGATATGAAGTCAAATTGATAATAGCTGATTAAAAACATAGGACGAATATTTCGCAGGCCTTATTTAGCACTTTTGATGATTATTTTTGAATAATTATTTATATTTCATGAAAAAACATAACGAATACAAACACAATTTTTTCTCGAAGATAAAGAAATCGTATCTACTTAAGCCACGTAAGCCATTCACTATATGCGCTACTGACAGTCGTATAATAGAATCCGCAAGTCCTTATTATGGAACACAAAATTACATATATGTCAATAATGAAAATAGTGTTGGACGATTTTATTGGTTTTCAATTCTTTTACATGAAATATTTTCTTATAATTACAGAACGCGGATTAAGAGTCACCAAAACATACGTTTCTGCCAGCAAAACTAAAAGGGAAACGAGATCTGCTTATAAAAATTAAACCTGATAAGCATAAACAGTGTTCAAATTAATTTATTTTGTGGAAGCAGTATAATTGAGTAAAAGTTTAGGTTCACGATAAGGACTTAGTCAAAAAAATACTATTCAGTGTAGGTTACTCAGTAGGTGGTTTCGGAATACATAACAAAATCAATCGGGTAATTTTCTTCCTTTCTTCTCTTAAAACACAACTATTAAAAATATGAATGATAAATCAGTGACAAAATATACTTGTTTGCAGATGCTACGTAACAATTGGAATCAGAAAAACCAGTTTTCCTTCAACTACTTGCTTCAGAAAGTCATGACTTTCTTGAGCTTTTCTGGGTCAAGTTGAAAATTCTTCTTACTAGCACTTACCAATGCACCAACTATTCTTTAGCTCCAAATGTGATATATTTATAACTATACCTACTCATGCTATACTCGTATAATTGATGTTCTTGGTGTTAGAGTCATAATGGTAAAGGAAGAGTTGGGCGTTGCTCCCAAGTGACACTAATTCTTTACGTATAATATCTGTCAAATGTAAAACATAGTTCATATCCATATAGTTAGCTCATGATATTTCACCTAAAAAAATAATAATCAAGAATCATTCAATCCTGCAACCTCCGAAAAATTGCTTTGCATTTAGCCGCTTTAATACATATTTTTCCAAGTATTTTTCCGATTTCGATAAAACTTCCTATATATTTTTCGAGTGGTAACACAATTATGGCTTATAGAAATAAATTGTAAAAACAGGCTTAGATTATTATAGACAACTGTGAAGAAATAAACTTTAGAGCCTTACATTTTGGAATTAATTTTGTTTTGCTAGCTTTAAAATAAACCAAGATATACGTATAATGGAATGAGTCGTTTCTGAAAATTTTCTTTTGGATTCTTAAAATAGAGTGTAGGTTACGATATAAATTCCTAGAAGTACAGCAATGTTATGAGTGTAATGCTAGACCTCATCTAAGGGAGTAACTTATATGACACTTAGTTTTAATTTAAATATCCGGTTAACATATAACAAGGTTTTATTTCAATACGTCATGTTTTTGTACACAAAAGCAATGAAATAATTTTTATGTACAAAAGAAATTGTTTTAAGATAAAACATGAAAATTAAAAATGTAAAGATATAATGGAAGTGAAAGATGATGCATTGGCAGCCGCTCTGTTCAGATCTCATTGTGAGAAGGATTACTTGAGGACTTTGATGAATTGAAAGTCGTAGATGATGGAATACTTTTATTATATAATTATTTAAAAGCACACCGTTGTACTATTATAACGTGAAAATACATATGTTTTATTGCTTAAAAGTATAAAAGTAAAAATAATGCACATTATATATATATATATATATATGTATATATCCCCATTACCTTCACTCAAGTTTTTTAAATATTTAGAAGTTTACATTTAAATCGTTGTGACATAAATAATTAATTATCATAGGATTGTAAGTTCAGCAAATTGAAAATAAGTAAAAATCACGATGATCTTTTTTTAAAAAAAGGTGGATTGAAGTGAAAATTCATCGGTATATTTACTTGAGCTGGAAAAACTTAAAGTGCTTCCGAATACATTTTCATTTATTACCAGATTATTGTTTAATTTATATTAATATCATATATATTTTTTGTGAATTTATTTTACTCTACTTAAAAAATGCGATGTAAATAAATTGCATATTATGTAGAAGTAAATGGTATGGGAACGTCGCTGTACATTAGATAATTAAATTTCAACGACATGTTGAGAAAAATAATTTCGTTGTAAAATGAGCTTTTATTTCTACATTCTGTGTGCAGCATAGTGCAATTGCTTCATTTAACTTTATTAATTTTATCAGAAATATTCTTCAAACGATATATCATATGAATTACATGAACTAGAAGTAATGAGATTTTTTTAAACGTTTATTTTTTTTATACCATTTCATTAAAGTCCAAAGACATTGACATATTTTTAAGCATACATACATACATTACATATTACGACTATAAATTTACTAGTGAAAACATTTTTTTTTATTTTGTTATGTCTTTATTGATTCAATTTACTAGAATTAATATGATATTTCAAACAATTTTTTCTATCTCTGACAACTTGTACGACGTGTATTAGTTACAACTTTTGTTCTCTTGTTTAAAAGCTTTCAGTGATAGGAATTTCAAAAAGATTATATATTTAATATATTGGAATCAATTTGTGCTGTCTGCGTCTTTCCATCCGTCTTCTCGATTGATGGAAGCACTTCGATGCTCTAAAGAAGTCCCCTAAATATATTTTTCGTTATTCTTGAGCTACTGCGGTGATATCACACTGATGATTGATTAATACAAATAAACATAGAGCGGTTTAAGAATATATTTTTTTGCATTAATTCATGATATTCAATATTTCGACAAAATTAAATATAAAAATCATTTTAAGATTATATAGTGTGTATAAATTTTTAAAAAAGTAGTCATTTTTTTAAAGTAACAGTTGCGGTGACAGAAGGTTGAAAATATTTATTTATCTTTAACATGTATATTGCATATTGAGCTTATAGATTACCATATCTAGAGATATAATCGCTTTTATAAATATGAAATAAAATTTCTTTTAATTGTAAATCACAGAATTAATTTGAAAAGAGCAGTTTTTAGTGACTTTACACTCAGATTGACCGGAAAAGTTTTATCTTTTAGCTTCATTCACTGTAATAAAAATGCTTCAAAAATTCATTTGCATATAATTTTCTTCAATCGCAAATCTTTATAGGTGCTATTTAATCACTTTTAAATAATATACAGATTAATCTCTTACAATACTATAAATATACAAAAAAATATCTTATATTTCCGTTTCTCTTTTTATATTATTTATATTCTAAGCTGTTTTATTCTCAGAACCCGTCGTTGGAAATCATAGAAGCCTTTGGAGAACAGTAAGGGATCCCCGCTGTGTTGAGCCATATTTTCTTTTTAGTTTAAATATTAAGTTGGCTTTATAACCTTTAGAAATTATATTTTCTTTTTATATTACTAAAAAAGATTACAACTAGATGGACCTTATTATATAGAAAACGTTTATTTGGTGTTGGTTTAAAGGGATTTTGTTAAATGTAGTAGAATGAATAAGCTTTATTTTATAGTTTTTAATATATGTATTTAAATAAAGGTGGAACTCACAAAAAGTGTGTCAATAATCCTGTGTACAAAATAAAATTAAATTCGTATAGCAGATTATAAAACACGACATATATTCATAACTTTCTATCGTCTATGAGGAAAGACTAATTTATTGATAGAGCATTTGATTCATGCAAAACCTTTAAATAAATATGTATATTGTTTTTAGTCATATATACAAATTAAATATAAAACGAATTTGTTATTTACTTCTTTAACGTGATAGTACAAGTTCCTTACAGCCAATATTGAATAAAGCAGTTCAAATAAAATGAAGAGGGAACTTTCTTTAAGTCTTTATATTTAAAGCGTTAAACTTATTGGTAACGAATTTACTTACTTCAAAGTTGATTAGTGAGAAGTCTAAACTTAGTTCCAGGCGCTTTAAAAAATTAAAGTCCTTAAACTCCAAAGGCTTTGTGATATTGGCTAATGGAATTGTAATCTATTTCCAAATAAAATACGACGTCTGAAGAATGTTAATCTTTTATCAGACTATACAAAATAAGGCTTACAAAAATCTTTTCAGATCTACATTAGCCTTGACATTTAAATCCAGTGATAAATAGTGTCATAATAATTTAGTCTAGGATAATGTAAGTTGGTCTGTACACAGTAATTTATCGCTTCTGATGCATAAGTAATAAATGTGTAGTGCAGTGACAGGTATGTGGCAAGGGTTGGATCTTGGTAGAATATGTAAAGCCTAATTCTGTAATGTGTGTCAGATGTCCTCTCAGGTGTTATGCAACTAAATAGCTTTCTCGGACCTTCACCAATATTAACTACCTTACGTTATTTAGACAGTAATCCCATTTGGTTATCAAACTATCAGTTCAGGTTAATATAACGTTCACATACGTAATAGTGTTTGACAAAATATTTACCTTGACCTTTATTAACTATTCCTTTATTCTATTATTTTCATACCGATTACAGTGACAAACAATAGTTGCCTAAGAAACAATGTAAAAAGACGTGCGGTCACAACACCTATGGCCGTACTATCCCGCCCTAGCCGGGGTACTCGAGGTGGCGGTATGGGGACACCGTCGCCTCATCACAACGAGTCTCCGAGCGGATCGCGGTGCGCAAGCACTCCTGCGCACCGCGGCATTGCGACGAATGGCCTACGCAAGTCTCTAGGGGCCTCTATTCGGCCTGTGGGGCACGATGCGCCATAAATGCGTAGAGGCTGCTGGTTAGCTGGCTAGCAGCCGCCCGTCGCCGGAGTTGCGGTAGTCGCATAGTGCCCGCGACTCCGACACTGAGTGGAGATGAGGGAGTGTCGGGGGGTTTTTAGTGGGTAAGAATCCCACATGTCCCGGCCGTGTTCCCCACGCGGCCGGAAGCCTTATCGAAGATTTTCCCCTCGTAAACAAAATAAGGTTAGGTTAGGTTAGGTTGGGGCGGTAGGGGTCTCAACGTGCAAAAAACCAGGTCTGGTTAAAAACATACAGGTATCCGTTTACTGGCTCTTAAGCTAGTACTATGATTATAAAAATATGTATAAGTAAAGAGTACGTATTAAATTTAGTATTTGATTAGTTATATGAAGAGCAAAATTATATATAAGTTGATATGATTGTAAACGAATCTGTATTATATAGGTATGTTGAATGAGGCTCATATGTTAAGTTTATAAATAAATATAACAACATAACATCAGCTCGCCGTCGCACGCGCTAGCGAACGGATCGATAATGGCTACCTCTGTGACGATGTCGGAACAAAATGTGAATACGCTAAAATGCGTGAACTGTAATATAGTGATAAGTGAATTGTTATCATTTATACAAAACAAAATTTCGGTAATAGACAATGAAAGTTTAATAAGAATTTTCGGGCTGCTTTTTCTGAAGAGGAGGTAGAATGTGCAAAAAACCTGCTATTTGCTTCTACTAAAATAAACAGAAGAAAGTATCTAGACGTAAAAATGGAAAGATACAAAAAGATTAAGAGGATATGATATGTGTTTTCAAAGTCACAGAGCCGTGTTTGATGGGAATTTTTGTGGCTCGTGACTTACAAAAATTACCACTGGCTACCTTCGACCATGTCGATGTCACGAAATTGTTGAAAGACCTTTTGATTATGCGGACAGAAATTGATGAAATAAAAAATAGCTACGCTACTAAGCAACAACTAGATGAGTTAAATTTAATTTTGGAAAAAAACCAACCCCCAGCATCGTTTTTAACATGTAATATTAATTCGAAAAAAAGAGGAGGGTATGTGCTAGACAGTGAGCCTAACGGGCTATTACCGGCTGAGATCGACACAATAACGGAAGGTTAAAGTACGGAGCGTACGGAGTCTCCAAAGTATCGTCATCTCGCTCACGCTTGGAAGGCTGCCGTTGAAAATAAAAGGGGTACGGGCGCACTCATGAATTCAACGCTAATTGATAACGTAATATGCACCGATATGATCGAGATGGAGGCGCCGGCGGCCTGCCATACGAATACGGATATTGAACAACCGACTATGGCCGATATTGCGAAAAAAGGAGAATGGAAAACACAGAATACAAAATCTAGTGAGTTTGTTACTGTTCAACAGAAGGCGCAGAAATCGGCTAGCCGGTAAAACAGGGAAAGCAACTACTGACAACGCAGAGAAGTTTAAAGCGGCTGAAATTAAAATTCCGTTATTTATTTCAAATGTAAACAAAGAAACCTCAGAAGAGGACATATGTGAATACATTAAAAACAAAACGTCAGAAGTAATTTCACTTGAAAAAATAAAAATGAAAAAGGCAAGACCGTACAACGCATATAAAATATTTGTAAATAAAAATAAATTGGAAATATTTTTGAATGATCAGATTTGGCCCGATGGTATCACATTTAGGCGTTTTATACATTTCAAATATAGGAAAGAGGAAGGAAAATCCTTCTCACAGAGCGAACGAATAGACACAATACAGCATCCTGAAGGTATTTGCAGCAAGACAGGATGGGCCGACCATGGGGAGGTTTATCAGGCTACATGTAAAAAGTGGGGCCGGGTCAATCTCACTGTGGTAGGTATTTATTCATTGTTTTTATTATATATATATTTTTTACTAACATAGTTTTTCTAAGTAATTATATTGTGTACTAACCAACTATGAGCCTATGTCGCTTGAAAATAAAAGATTTTTATTTTATTTTTATTATCGTGTTTAATCAGACACGCCTTATATATACTATGACGTCATCAAAATTGACGTATTTATATGAACTATGATTATAAAAATATGTATAAGTAAAGAGTACGTATTAAATTTAGTATTAGATTAGTTATATGAAGAGCAAAATTATATAATATAAGTTATGATTGTTAACGAATCTGTATTACATATGTAGGTATGTTGAATGAGGCTTATATGTTAAGTTTATAAATAAATATAACAACATATTATCGTGTTTAATCAGGCATGCCTGAAATACTATGACGTCATCAAAGTTGACGAATTTGTATGTACTATGATTATAAAAATATGTATAAGTAATGAGTACGTATTAAATTTAATATTTGATTAGTTATATGAAGGTTAGGTTAGGTTTCTCGTTGTCTAGAATGCGCAAGCGACCCCTTGTAGCTCCCTTAAAGCGGCTGAGGGTAACCGGGTGGGTTTTAGCCGGCAGGAGTCCGGCATAATCACACGACTCCCCCGGGGCGTGTGGTATCCGTGAGGATTTCCCACCCGTTAAAAAAAACAAAGGTTTCTCGTTGTCGGCAGTGGTTCAGGCCATGGTCGGTAGCGAGAGTGCCTGGGAGGCGGTGGTCCGATTCAGCGAGTGCGTCATCTCGAGGAAAGAGGCCGCTGAACGAGCACGGAAAGATGACCTCTTCTCTGCGCCCCTGCGTCGACGAAGGCTGGGTAAAAGGCAGCGGGCCTACGCTCGCCAAATGCCTCCCCAGTGAGAGGAGCCTCCGGGCGTTGGTGGGGAACCGGCGTCCGGGCAACATAGGCTGGAGTGCGAGTGGCGTGTTTGGCGTTCCCGGCACGTCGCACGTGGAGTCGGAGGGAAAGTGTGGTGAAGCCACTGTAACCCCTGCCGAAGACGGAGTCCATGGGACTCGTGCGTAGTGAGCGGAAGTATGGCTTGCCGTTCCCGCTCACTAGGCTACGCACAGCGCAGAGAACGCCGAGGAGTTTAGTGGGTGGAAATCCCACACACCCCCGCCGTGTTTTCCCCCGCGGCGGGAAGTCTTTGAAAAATTCTCCTCGTTTAAAAAAAAGGGGCAGTAGGGAGCTCAATGTGCAAAAAACCAGGTCTGGTTAAATACATACAGGTATCCGTTTACTGGCTCTTAAGCTAGTACTATGATTATAAAAATATGTATAAGTAAAGAGTACGTATTAAATTTAGTATTTGATTAGTTATATGAAGAGCAAAATTATATATAAGTTATGATTGTTAACGAATCTGTATTATGTAGGTATGTTGAATGAGGCTTATATGTTAAGGTTATAAATAAATATAACAACATATTATCGTGTTTAATCAGGCATGCCTGAAATACTATGACGTCATCAAAATTGACGTATTTATATGTACTATGATTATAAAAATATGTATAAGTAAAGAGTACGTATTAAATTTAGTATTTGATGGTAAGGTTAGGTTTCTCGTTGTCCCTCCGTCCTTCCCCGAGGGCGGCGGGCTCCATGAGGATTTTCCAACCCGACACCAAAAAAAAGCGACTATTATTTATTTCCAAAAATGAAAAAAAAGCTGCGTGGAAAAAAATTTAAGAAGTCAAGTCCGCAATTTCGGCCTATTTTGATAGCCAAGATAAATATTTTTTTTCGATGGTATTAATAAAGTATTTGAGAGATCTGAAATATGTATTAAGGTTAAGGGAATATATATATAAAAGGAAAAATAGTTTCGTGTTTAATTTCAACCCTCTTCCCGCTCATTCCGCGAACTTATTGACCTCCCCTCGTAGTAGGTGTGATTTCTAAAAATAAAGTGAATGAAATTTTGCTATGTTTAATGTTTATTTTTGAGTTGTGCAATAAATCTCCAAAACTTGAGTAATTATGAGCTTCTGTGTCCTAAATCGTCTGTTTAGTCTTATTTTTTGAGATATTTGTTATATGAAACGTACTATAAAATATATTGATAGTTTAATTATAAAGAATAAATAGATGCAAGGTAAAGTCCAATAACGACTTATTTATTAAAACACATTTTTTTTCTCAGAATACTGAATTCCATACATGTTTCTTTTTGTTTTATAGTAATAATTTTTTTTGGATCAAAGTAAATTTTATATTTTACCGATGATAAAATTAATATATGCTAAAGCCATCATTAATGATTGCAATTGCAATATTAAAATGGACGGGTAATCATGGGAAGGGATCTCGTATCTACATATTTTGGATAGTATCAGCATTTTAAATCTGCAATAATCTAAAGCCATTACTAGAAAGCCCTGGCGGATTTTATGGGCTATTTTGCTACTTTTCCTAGTTATTGCAAATCATGATACCAGTGTGATCCGGATATTCCTAATAGGGACCAATGAATCCGTCTTATTTTAATTACTTTCGGGACTTGAGTAAACTGAGGAGCTTTATTTCTACGATATTTCCTTATCTCTGCTCTGGTTCCTATTAAACCACATAAAATTACATTCGTTATAGTATTTGAAAAAACAGTGTAATCGCAGGGGTTTGTAGATGGAAACAGGCTAATACCTGGTAGATTTAAACCCAAAAAATCGTTGTTCTGTTAGGTTTAGGTTAATAAGAATATAAGTTTTTTTTTGCGAACAGAATTTTAAAATTAAGTCAGTATTATAAATATCTTGTAAGTGATAGATGACGCAACATCTCATTGGTCCGAAACTCATTGTGCGGAGGATTACGAACGGACATTGATAAATTGCTACTTACACAAGTTGGATCGTTCTAAACTTGCTGACCTGTAACTTGTTAGACTTTTAGTTAAAGTTTAATACAGAAATATAAGTGAAACCTTTTTATTCTTATTAATTATATATATTACTGTTCTATTTCGCTACGAAATAATATTATCATTTAACCATTTATTAAACGTTGTTTTACATTTGTATAAGGCTCCCTTATATTTGTATATTAAAGAAAGAGGTGAAGTATTTGAGGCTTTAATTTTATTTAATGGAAATATAATAGAAAAGAAACTTAATAATAGTATTAAGTTTATGTTATGAAGATACGGGTTTATACAATTTTAATAATTAAACAAATAGCTGGATATTATAAAAAAAATAAGTTATGAATACAGCTATAGAATTAAAAAAGAAAAGGCAACGTTTCGTACACGTTTGGGAAAAATAGTGTAAATATTTTTCTCTTCTGCTATCCTATCTCCGCTTGTTATCTTGATTTGTAGGCTCTGTGGGTGCTTCGTATAAAAATAACAACCGCATATTCTGCAATATCTTATTCTCATTGCGAGTTAAAATAGCTAGAATTGTGTTTTCAAAAAAACATATGAAAATTTAATTGCATACATCTTTTTTATCGCTGTTTTCTTGTCCTTAATTGTTTTCATATACATACATGAATATGGTGTTAATATTAAGATTATGGACCATGTTGGAAAAATTGTTGTAAGACAATAACCCATCTGAAAGTACATATATACATAAAACACTTAAAATGTGAAATCAAGATTATTTCATGCAATAATAATTAACCATCACAAAACACAACACAACACAAGGATCGGATAGAAAACTGGTGCCTGTCAAATATATTACAAATAACTATACTGATTCACTTCATATTAATAAGGGTACACGTATTCACTTTTGAAACCATATTACTAATCAAATCTTCTATATATATAAAAATGGATTGCTGTTCCTTAGTCTCGCTAAAACTCGAGAACAGCTGAACGGATTTATCTTATCTTAGTCTTGAAATATTCGTGGAGGTTCAGGGAAGGTATAAAAGCTGAAAAAAAATTATTCATTACTGGGAAAACCATAAAAACAGCACTTTTCTATTTCCCATACAAACGTTTCTTTGACATTAGATTTGACAACTTACTAATATGTCAATCATTCTGTTCGATTGAAACAGGAAAAATGTAATAAATACCAATACCTGGTTATTTAAGACGGAATAGAGTTCGCCCGGTCAGCTATACATATGTACATTACTAATGACGAAATTAACGCGGACGAAGTCGCGGGCAAAAACTAGTATTCAATATAATTTTTGAATGGAAAGGAAGTATTGTTAAAAACACATTAAAGTATTTGAGAAACGTTCAAAATTTTAACTACATTAATAGTATCAAGTAATATATTTTAAATGTTATATGAAAATAGATAGAACTTATAAATATCTGGTGCAAAATTGTTTTGGAAGAACCAGAGAGGAAAGTGTTGTTAGTGTCAGATATTTCAGTAGTGTCTTGATTTCTACTATTGGGTTTAAGTATATTTAAACTCCTAATAAAGTTATATGTTTGATATATTTTTGTCAATAAAACACAAATAGTTACAAATGTTTGAAATATATATGACAATGTGATTCCAAAAAAAACATTTTATTAACATCACATTGCTTTAAAGGTTTTCGTTACATAATAGAA